GCAACGTCGGTCAGGGGTTGGGTCGGAGGAACGCCGGGGGAAATGGAGGTGGCGCGTTCAAGGAAATTCCTTCGCTCGTAAAATCGAATTTTCCGAACAACAATGAGCCCGATCTCGCTCGGCCCGCGCACGGCCGTTTCACCGAGCACAGCCATGCTGCTGTCATTATTACCGCGTTGTGTTTACTTCCTTATTGTCCGTTGTGTCGCGACACGTTGTTTTGAAGAGCGACACAATTGGACGTCTCATCGATTTTCCGCCATCGAGTATAAATCTCGCGAATGTACACGCGCGCGTTCTTCTAGGGTTGCATTGCAAAGCGCGCGTCCTCTTTGAGGAAAATTTTACTGAAAACCTATACGTTCACGTCGCACATAGCATGGACTTTCAGTGAAATTTTCCTCAAAAAGGACGTTTCGGTCATGCAACTCTACACGGAAAAAACAGGATTCAATATCGAATCTACTCGGCGCGACCAGATTTATGTGTATGGGTCAACCATACTGTTTTTTCTTCTTCCGCGTAGTATCAAGTTCACTCGGGATAAACGAACTTTAGATAGATCGGGGCTTGATCGAGAGCTATGCCAATCACCTTGAGGTTCTAGCTTGGTTTTAAAAAAAGCCTTCAGTTCCCTTTGACGCATTTAATTAGCGTATCCACGGCGCTGCTATCGCGGGCATTCCTGTACAGCATTTCCAAATGACTTCACAAACGCACGTTTGCAACATTGTTATTGGTAGAAGAGAAGCCAATTGATCGGCAAACGTAACCAAATCCGTAGTTTTATTTTCTCTTTTATTTTCATCCTCTCTCTCTCTCTTCCTTCCTCTCTCTTTCTCTTTCTGTCAGGTCGATTAATATAATGCTAGGCGTATCAATGCGTATTGAATTACGCTTATTAGTCTGTCAGCAACGTTTATTTTTGACCTAAATGCTCGATCATCTTCGATGAATTCGAAACAACGCGATGGTCACGCCCGTCCGATATTCGCGCGCGCGGATATTATCGGTCAGCGATTCGACGGTAACTTTCGCATTATTCGTTCATAAGAGGATAATTCAGATAAACGTATGCGCCCGGCATTCGATGCATCAGTGTTACAGCCGCTTTAGCGTCACGCGGCGATAATTATCGCGCGTTTCTCCGCTGTTCATTTAATATTTCAGGCTGCTGGCGTAAACAAAAGTGTATCGGATTTCCCGCTGCAGGGCGCTCATATTGACCGGACGCGGTGCAAGCGCTCGCTTCGAATTGCGCTCGCTCGCTCGTGCGCGCGCGTGTGCATTAATAATCCCAATAAAATATATAATCAATCGCGCGCGACAATACACTCGGCGCGCAAATGCACGCGCGCATGGATATCCGCGCCTTCAGGGCGCAAGGCTCGTGCCGACGTTGTCGTTTCTTCATTCCCCGATCATGGAAATGTCTCTCGGCGGACGATATTAATCGCGAAATAACAGTTACGCGCACATTCCGGGACGCACTCCACGAAACATACGAATTCCGGCTGCAAGCGTGCATATAACGCGCGGCAGCCGAGGAAACGGATATCTGCCCGAGATGCAGATAGGAGAGACTGGGGTTAGATGCCCTATATTTTGGAATTTCGAAGCTACAACTTCTCGGGCAACTATTGTTGCGACTGACTGTACATATATGATAGAGGCAACCCTTTTCTATGTATTAATGCACGCCACGATCCTCTTAACGCTATATTTTGTTTTGTAATAACCAAAATACGAACATGCAGCGATATAGTCATCTTGCCCTGCTATTGGGGCAAGCAGCGCAGGATAAGAAGGCCATGTATAAAATACGTATCGTTATTAGTAGTTCCAAAGTCTCCGCGAAAAGTCTCCACAGCCGGATCTTAAATATGGGCCAACTTTACCTCATCCGCTTATATGCTCTATTTCAATTTACGAATGAAAATTATATTTATTAATATAATAAAAATATAACATCGTACATTCGCAAAAAATGTTATTCCAACTAGTAACTGTCGCTTGATTTTCTTCAGTCACGAATATTAATAGAAAATTTCGAGAATTTATTTCGCTATTATCAAATCAGCTTTTTTTCTATTCCTTAATTGTAATATTATTCCTGTTTTAATGAAATTTAAGGAAAAGTATTTATGTTCTGAAAGAAGCATTTCGCAATTTTGTACCCACTATTCTTCTCAACATAAAAAAAAGCTCATAGACAACATACCCTTGGGAACCATATAGCCCCGGTCTCCCCTACGCAGAGCGTGAAACGAGAAGACGACTTCCTATAACCACAAGGAAAGAAGAAGGAAAGGAACTCATGTAGGAAATACGTATACATTTTGTCAATACGGAATAATGGCGCGATACTGTATGAATATTTTACGCTACTGATTTTCGGCACCGTTCCTGTATTGATTTTCGGTACTGTGACATTACAGTTACTGGCCCTTTTCTATCATCCCGATGTCACGCCACTGCTGAAATCGTACTGGCATCTGGTACTGCGCCAGTTACGTATATTAAACATCGGTAGCGGGCCCAGTGCCTCGCCAGTAGAGCAAATCCCTATCTGGGAAGGGACGTGAGAAACGTGAGTGAAGGATGGCAAACGAGACTCGATTAGCAGGCGTAGTCTCTCTTCAGGGGAGGAACGCGCGTGTCTTCGTGAGGTATTTTGCGCGCGTTGTACACCCATTATGTGCCGGAGCGCATGACGGAGGTCGCGCGACGCGACCAGCCCCGGACGGGACACGGTAAAATGAACGCAACGCCGATAGGGTTGATAGATCACGCATTTCCCTGACGCCGTCGATGAGCCGGGCACGGTGAGCGAGCGAGCGAGTAAGCGCGCGCACCGGCTATTTCATTTTCCATCTCAGTGGATTTGCCGGGGCTAATCGATAATCACACCACAGACACGCCCGACGCTCGCTGCGATAACAGCCAGCGAATGGAGAACCAACTTCGCCCTTGGGAAGCTATTCCGCCAACGGTTATCGGCAGTCGGCAGCCGCGCTGTGCCGTGCGCATCGAGCGTGATTTTCTCCAGGTGGTGTTTTATATCTGACCGTCTCGCCTTCGCTGACGTCGCCGACCTGGACGGACATAATTGCATAATTCGTGCAAAATTTGCGGGGGCACGCCGGGAGCCCCCACTTGGCAGTTCGCCCGAGTTGGACCCGCGATACTTTCCCCGCGAGGTCCCCGCGCGCTCCTTCGCAGCAATCGATCCCTCGAGACTTGATTCGCCGCCAATTAATGCGACGCCGCGTTAGGCTCGACAGGGCCGAGGACAGATCCGAGGGCAACACGTCCTGGTCGCGCGGCCACGTACACGCGTGCAAAGTGATTTCTCCACGCGTCAGCGATCCACCCCCGCGTACCATCGACTGCGAAAGTCGACGAGGGCGTACCGTCCGATGGTTACATCCGGTTGCTGGGAATGCAGTTGATCATGTCGCTCGTGTAACGCCCGATCGAAGTCGGCTTCTTTCGCGGCGGTCAATATAGTTCCGCGTTGCCACGCAAATTGCTCCGGAACTAAACTGGAAGCAATTAGTAGCGTCTGCGTATGCGCGTTATTGAATTGGCACGCGGCGACGGCGGCAGCGGTGGCGTTATGAGCGCCGGGATGGGGTGAAACGCACTCTAAACACTCTCTGTGCTGTGGAGCTCTCGGACTGAAGGCTCCAAGAACGAGCCGCCCGTTGATCGAACGATGTAGGAGCAATCAAGATCAAGGAAAGTGCTGACAGCGATTTGTTCGCAGTACTTGAACGTTTGAACTAGGATTGCGAGCTCTTGATGACTCCTTTTATCAATACTCGTGTTTAATTGACGATTAATATGAGTCAATTCAATCACAACATCGTTCAATTGATTTCAATCACAAATTCAGGACCGACTGACGATTGATGCACGGAAATAATTTTATCGTAAAAGTCACTATAGAATTTCGTAATTGAGGTGTGGATCAACATTCTGTTAAATAAATCTTTCGCTTCATATGTGTTTATGTACTTTGGAGACTGAAATGTACCATTAAAACATTCGCATGTTTTTAACGAAATCTGCAATGTTTCTTGCTTTGAATTTACTCTGTTCCGTAATAAAATAAACCCTACTGATAGTCAATCCCCTACTACAGTAAACAGTAAAATTGAAAAGAATTTACATGAAGGAAAGACTATAATATTCTCTCCGTGTATGAGCTAAGTATGAGTCAATTGAACGATCGCTCAATTAATAATTGGACTTGGCGAATTCAATTAGAGTCCGTTTAATTGACGATTGAACTCGGCAAGTTTAATAAATGACCGTTTAATTGACGACTGATGTGAGCAGATTCAATCGAAAATTGTTTGGTGATATGATCACTACCTCCTTCCATTTCAATGCAGATCCCACTTATTTCTCAATTATTGGCGTCTTTCACGAATGCTTCAGACACGAATATTATCTGCAAAATCTTGAATAATCTTGAGTAAACAAACGCTCCTTGATTGAATCGATCAAATTTGCTTATGCCTATCGTTAAGTTGAATGGCTTTTAATAAAATTTGTTAAGTTCAATCGTCAATTAAACGGCTCTTAATTAAATTTGTTTATATCAGTCGTCAATTGACTGGCCTTCGATTAAATTTGCTGAGTTCAGTCGTCCGTTGAACGGCCCTTAATTAAATTTGCTAAGTCCAGTTGTTGACCGAACGGTCTTCGAGTCCCTTCAGCTCATGTCAGTCGTCAATTGAACGGCCCTTAATTGAATTCGTCGAGATCAGTCATTAACTAAACGTTCCTCAATTGATTTTGCTCGAGTCAATCGTCAATCAGTCAGTCGTTCTGAACCGATACGGTTCCAATCGACCATTGAATTGAGAAAAATTCAATCGACATTTCTGCAACTCTGGTTCAAGCGCATCAACGACTCGGATAATCGAGGGCAATTTGAGCGTAAATACTGTTCCTTGCCGATAGAAAACAAGAATCTGCGCGGGTTCCTTTGTCACGATGGACTGCTTAATTCCGCAGCTCGCGCGGCGCAAACCATCACTGAATTTGTGATTGACCAACTATACTAATCACCTGTCGAATAGACGGAGACCCATATAGACTGCCCACACAACGAACTCGGTCCCTCGTCGAGACCGTTTCCACGACTAATTAAAGTTATGTCGTCGTGACTTGTCTCTCACGCGTGTGTGTGTGTGCGGCCGCGCCCTCTCCTATCCGAAAACGAGGTCAAAGACCCCGGCACCCTCTGACCGGTCAGGTGATGGCAATAACGAAAGAAATTTATTGAGACGGATGAGGCGACGCAAACAAAACCGTGAAAATTGCGGGAATACGTCGTTAACGTGGGGGCGTCGTAAAAGCGGCGACTGCGCGTCGCGCGCCGAAATCACCACTTTTGCCCCGGAAAATTAAGGAAACCCATCTAACAGTCAACATAATTCCTGACCTAACGGCCGATCAACGTAACTATTCGCCGTGCCGGCGCAAAATCTTCACCAGCGGAGCTTTATTGCGGATCGCTCGCGGAGAGACGCCCGACGGCGATTTATTTATTTATTTACCTCGATACACACGCGAAAACATTGGTCGATTTTGCGAAGTGTAATGGCAATTCATAAGTCAGAGACAACCGACGGTCGAAAACACGTAACAAAAAATGCACGAGAGAAAACGCCACCTCCAAAAATATTGGAATATTTTCAAACGACCGTGTGCATACGATAAACTATTATTTATCTAGGAGAAAAAAAAACAAGTATTTTTATACAAAGTACAGCCCGTGGCAAGAATTACTTGTCGAGGTTCATCAGGAATACGTAAAAAGACGTAAGTACACCTATTACATTATGCAGCGTCGCGCAAAATGTGTGTACACGGAGAAAGAGGTCTGCTAGTTGCATTAGCATGAAGTTTGGTCGTAATGAACGGACCAACTCATTTCGGCCGGAGAAAACGGAATTTCTGACTCTTGGAACCAAATTTCCAAAAAAGGAGTAGGTCTTGGTTGGTGAGAGCTGTGAGTATGTGGCAAATGATCAAGAACTGTCTGTTAAACTCATAAGTATCAATGAAGAAATAAAATCAATAAAAAAGACTTCTTTTGCTCACAATTATCAATTGTTCATGAAAAAAATATTTGTTAAAAAACGAGATTTCTGAAAAGAAAACTGCATTTTCACAAAGTTTTGGACTATTTTAACCCTCTACTGCCCAAATTAATTTCTCATATTTAAAAAATTTTTCATACATATAGGATGTTTAAGACCAAAAAGTATTCAATACATTTAAGGTGAAATTTTACTTTTCTAATTTTATATTTTCCCAGAATAGGTTTATGATTTCGAGGCCATGGGCAATTACTATCGTTGCCAACATACTAAAAACAGGCAGCCATATTGTAACTTTCACGTCACATCGGTCAAGGTAAGAACAATATTCACATTGGAAGTACATAATTATGAAATTGGATTGTGATGGGCAATCTTCAGAATGTTATGGGTAATAGAGGTAATGAGTTAAGTTTCATATTCATATATTGTAACAAATCTCTCTTTATCGCGCGCGAATGCGCAATTGTGATTCTTTAGAATCCGGCTTGAACTTCCAGACGATTATTTTATCGGTCGAACAAAAATGGATATACCCTCGGCGTACTTTTTGTCGCTCTACCTGTGTAAGTGTAATGTCAGTGTAGCGAGTTCCATTTACCAGGCGTCCTTCCTGTTTTTATTAACCGATCGATCGACCTTACCGGGAACTTCGATCGCAACGGATAAAGTCAACGTCACAGTTTCGCGGTTTTGTTTGGCGCTACGCTATCGCTATGGCAACTCTGCGAGTCGCGCGCGCATTTTCCACACTCCGCGTCTTTTTCCGCCCGAGAATCGTCGTCGCCCGGCTGGAAGAAGAGACGGTGGTGGCTGATATATTCCTCCTTTCGTCCTGTGCACGGTGCATCGACCGAACACGCGATAAGCCAATTAATTAGGCTGATGTGTAACGGCTGCGAGTATCATCGATTCGTATCAATCGGTCGGGTTTGAACAGGCTCGCAGGTAAGGGTCGCATCTAAAAGCCATTTAACGGCGCGTTAATTAGCGGAATTACTACATTAACGGTAATTAGAACGGCGCGCGATCGCTTCGCCAAAGACGCGATCATTCTTGTTTATTTGCACACCACAAACATCCTCCGTCCCCGCGTTATCAATGTTTCATGAGACATATTTCAATTATAGCGAGGAACTGAGTATTATCAGCGGAACTTGTGCTCGCGTCGGAAAACCTCATTCTCAGTAATTTCCTTATAAACGACATCGTATCACACATACAATCGTATCTCACACATACGATCTCACCGTCTCGTCAACTTCCCGACATTTGTGCCTACTATATGTCGATTATCGTAGCCTTGCCTCGTCTATATTTGTCACACATTGCAAAATGAGAATTTGAGTAAATATAAGTTTGCAATTCAATAAATTTCTCTCTTAATCTTGCAGGTGTTATGATGGATAAATATTAATCATAAATAATTAATTCTTAATTTAAATTAAAATAATACAGGGTGAATCATTTTAACAGTGGAATATCTTGAAAACGAAACAAGTGACAAAAAAATTGTTTAGACAAAAATCATATGATTTAGAGGGGGATGTAAAACAGTGGCATTGCTTTGACATTGAGTAGTCGTTTGAAGGTCACGTGACGGTCATCTTCAATTTCTTAAATAGAAATCCCCATTTTTTATTGCACTTTTAGATTAAGCCAATCCAAATGAACATCTCTCGTATCTTGATGATTTTTTGTAAAATCAATAGTTTCCAAGATATTTTGGTCGGAACAACGAAAAATGGTACAATCGATTCCTGACTGTGTAAACCGCTTTTGGAGCTATCCAAGATTAACGACGTGAATTAACGTGGCGGTAATTCCTTCGGGGTGCTTGATTTCCGTGAGTCCCCTTGTCTTTCACGTTTGGGGTGCTCCAAGAGCGGTTTACACAGTCGATTGTACCATTTTCCACGTTCTTCCAAATATCTCGAAAACTATTGATTTTACAAAAAATCATCAAGATACGAGAGATGTTCATTTGGATTAGCTCAATCTAAAAGTGCAATAAAAAATGGGGATTTCTTATTTAAGAAATTGAAGATGACTGTCACGTGACCTTCAAACGACTACTCAATGTCAAAGCAATGCCACCGTTTTACATCCCCCTCTCTAAACCATATGATTTTTGTCTGAACAATTTTTTTGTTATTTGTTTCATTTTCAAGATATTCTACTATTAAGATTAAAATGATTCACCTTATATAAAAACGAATAGATATAAAAATATATTTATGTGTTTCATTTATTAATTATTATATTTATTTATAATTATTTTCATATTATATTTTTACACGGATAGAGATTATTAATCATTCATTAATAATATTTTGTAACATGTATGAGATCTCGAAAGAAATTTATTAAACGTAAAAAATATATAAATATATTTATGTATTTCATTTATAATTATTATGTTTATTTATAATTATTTTCATATTATATTTTTTTACACGAGTAAAGATTATTAATTATTTGTGAATAATATTTGTAATATCAGATCTCGAAAGGAATTTATATTGAAATTCCTTTTTTTTTCATAAAAACGAATTTATTCAAATTCTCATTCGCGTTGACATAAAAATATTTTATAATTTTTTATAGCATTAGAGTTCGTTACTTTCACGCACCATTTTTGGCGAAATTGAGATAACGGTGTATTCTGATTTTCTCACCTTTTTATTCTGTTATTAACTCCTTGTACACTTTAAAGATAAAGAGTACTTTGCCGAGAATATGCCAGGCTTGGACCGCAAAGAGTTAATTACAGCTGTAATTGCTCCAAAATCTAGCCGCGAATTTGTATTTCAACAATGGAAAACTCATTTTTGTAATCCAAAGAATAATTCCAATTTCGCCGAGATGAGACGGCGGTTGTTAGACATTGGCATTTTATTTATTAAAAAATGTGTGTGTGTGTGTGTGTGTGTGTGTGTGTGTGTGTGTGTGTGTGTACACGCGAACGCAATCGGAGGAACGAGCTTCCTCGCAAGAAATAGTTCATCTGAACGTATCTAAGTTGGCGCAATTGCGAGGTCGACAGTAAACAGACGGGAAGAAATCTGTACGCGGTAGCTGCGTTCACACGGTCGAGAGTCCCCGGATTTGAAAGTTTGTCTTTAACTCGAGCTGCAGTATAAAAATCTCGTTTGTTCAGTGACGATCCGGGAGGGGCGACGGGCGACTTGCTAGAGCGAGAGGAAGGCCGGGAAAGGATAACGCGACGCTCGGAAGGTGCCAGGGAAGGCAACCGAGACAAGAGAGCAACGGACGAGCAACGAGATGCCGATTGATTGTTATTACCTACCGCCAAGTCCACCCTGTCGCAGCGTCCTGCTACTCGCGAAGGCTCTGGGCGTTCATTTTAACTTCAAGATAGTGAATGTCTTGAAGGGGGAACACATGAGCCCGGAATTCCTGCAGGTTACTCGATTCGCGTGCTATTCCCTCACCTCTGCACTCAAATTGATTAGCTCTTGATACGTATGAATAAATGCGAACCCACTGACGTACAGTCGGCGACTAAAAGGTTGTCCGTAATTTTTGGAGTGAGTTTGTCAACTCATACCTCTGTCCCTTCAACTAGAGTACTCTCCAATTGGAAAACAAATTCTCCCATTGGACAAGATGAGAGTTCACAAACTCGTCCCCGAAATTACGGACAACCTCTCAGTCTCCGACTGTACACGTAAACTACAAACAGTTACATGGGTTTCTGTGAAGCGGATCACACACATGAAGCGGTTGGTTTGTCGTGAGGACCATGGCACACTTAAGTAGACATGGAAAAACTCAAGTAGTAAAACGTAAGCAGTAAGCAAACTGACTAATCACATTCGCTGATTCTTGGACCGTAAGAAGAATCATCGACTGTGGTAGATCAGTTTGCTTACTGCTTACGTCTTACTGCTTGAGTTTTTCTCCGGTCTAAGCCTCACTAACTGCCCGGATTTTACTAATGTAAAAACGTATATAGAATTTTATCGCATAACTTGCAGTCTTGCCTTTTTTTAGATAAATCCACAGCACATGATACCAACCATCGACGACAATGGATTTGTTCTGTGGGAGAGGTACGTGAAATTGCACGTCGAATCGAAAGAAACCAAGCACAAAAATATTCGATATTTCGAATATCTAATTATATTTACTGGATATATTTTATTGATCACATTTTCTTATTTTAATTTAATTTAATTTTAATAGACATGAATTTATTACTTGAATACATTTTCATTAAAATGAGAGCTTGAATAAACACGTTTGTATAAATGAGTAAATATGCATATTTTGTTTAATTTTATGAGTGTTATAAATATTATTCACAAATAATTAATAATTTTTGTTGATATAGAAACAATACGGAAAAATAATTATGAACGAATATAACAATTACAAATAAAACAAATAAATATATTTATATCCTTTTTATTTTCTTTATATTATCATTTTTATATTATTTTTCTTTAAATAATAATTATTAATTATTTATGATTAATATGTATAACACTTTGTATAAAAATCGAGAGAAATTTATTGAAGTGCGCATTCATACAAACGTGTTTGTATTAATTTTTATTTTAATAAAAATTCATTTAAGCGATGACTAACTCTGTCTGCGATTAAATGTGTTCCATATACTTACGCAATTTATGCGCTTTTACAGTCGCCCGATTATGGCATACTTGGTCAGCAAATACGCCAGAAACGATTCTCTTTATCCGAAAGACCCGAAACAGAGGGCAGTGGTCGATCAAATGATGTATTTTGACGCTGGCAGTCTTTTTACCAGTATTGGTCAGTGTTACGTACGTGTTGAGTTTTATCTACGAATTTGCCTCAATATTATTATTTTCACAGCAATTTATTATCCTAATATGTCTCATGGTCATCGGATATCGCCACAATCGCAGACTCTGCGGCTAATTTCTCCTTTCTGCTCGCCCAGTATTTCCGAATCATTCAATAATGCTGTACTTGTGTCAGTCTTCATCAATTTTGTCTATTTTCGGATTGTCATTTCTATGTCGATTATCATTTTGTGTAAAGAGAAATTATCATTTTGCCGGAATATTTGTAAGAATAATTTGAAAGGTATTGTTCGCAAAACTCAGACGCAAGTGTACTGACAGAAATTATCGCTCAGATACCTGTGGCCCGAGGTCTGTCTCATTCCGTTAACGAAGCGGATCTAGAGCGAGCGGAGAAATCGTTCGAGGTGCTCAACTCTTTCCTCGAGGGGAAACAGTTCGCGGCGGGCGACAATCTGACCATTGCCGATTTCACTATCAGCACGTCCATCTGCTTTGCACAGGTGAGTACACTGTGGGCCGTTTCTGTCGCGCGGCTGTCGACCCGCAAAATTCGCATGGCGATCGCGAGCACGATTTCTCGATTGCAGACCTTCGACTTCGACATTAGCCGTTACGATAACGTCGCCGCGTACTACGATCGTTGCAAGGAGAGCTTGGAGAAATTCGGCTTCGAGGAGGTGCACGCCTTTGGTGTTAAAATATTTAGCGAGATGTACCACGCGAACCTACAAGAATCCAGTTAACGTGGATATGACTATGGATATTTGTGCGCATCTATAAAGAGCAGAGAGGTAGAGAGAGAGAGAGAGAGAGAGAGAGAGAGAGAGAGAGAGAGAGAGTGTGTATGTGTGTGTGCGAAAGAATGAGAGAGAAAGATCGATAGTACTTCGTTTACCTGAGATCGAGATTAGACATGGAAACCCATCGTTACCTCATAGAATTTAAAATTCGCTTCTTACCTCCGCGAGATTCTAAGTCGAATTTTCACGACTTTATTACAGTAAATTTCATGACGAATATTTTAGAAAATAAAAAAACATTTTTGCTCTTACATATACATAATTCCCACTTAGCGGATTCGTTTTGTATAATATTTATTCCTGTTAATTAATAACATGCGAAATTGATATAATTGATGTAAATGATAGTCCGCGAGAAACATGCTGCGTTGTAACGTTATTAAAGTAATTATGTTCTGCTTTTTCTCTGTACCAAAAAGTATAGGTAGTGTTGATCAATTCTGTTCATACAAGGTGAGTCAGCAACTATTGCCAATACCTATCGAAGCGAAACACAAAGGTAACCTTCAGATCTTCGAAGTGACTTTACCTCGAAAAAAAGAGCGTTACCATCATAAAACACTCTATTTTTGTAATAGTTACTCGACTCACTCTCTATATATTTTGAAAGATACGTGCAGTAGATTTAATTAGAACCTAAGCATTAGGAATGTACCAGAAGACGTGTGAAAAATAAACGTAAGCTACTGTATGTCGTTTGTTTCTCCTGACTCTTCGGAAATTAGCTTCTAGAGTTAGCTACGGTCGTTTCTGCAGATGGTGATGAAAGTGCTGTAAGTAGTGAAACAATGCTGTAAAAAGGCCAAAATTTGCTCGTAAAGGAAATGTATGAAATCGAGCTGTCTTTATATTTTGCTGAAAAACAAGATTTTTCTTTAGAAAAATTGCAAAAATTGCATTTTCGCAAAGTTCCCCGAGATTAGGACAATTTTAAGCTTGATATTCGAGTTCAATAGACCCAAGAATATAAAGCCCGATCTCACTTCTATTTCGATAGATATTTCGGGTAATTTTTGGCCAGCATTGTTCTTTATGAAATTGGTAAGAATCAATATTTGACACACACACACACACACACACACACACACATTCAATGAACTTTGACAAGATATAACGACGACGACGACGACGACGACAACGACGACGACGACGACGCGTCGCGATGAAATACATAAAGTCGACGGCGCCGTGTGCAGCTCGCCTTGTCATCATTACACTTCGTTCTCTTAATTACAGCATGACGCAGAGTCCAGCAACGTGTACTGGAGTGTTCACAGCGGAGTCTAACGCGACGCGTACACACCGCGTGTTACCCGAGCATGCATTAGGGAGACTGATAACGATCGTGGAGACGAAACGAGAATGGCCGAAGTGTCCACCCGCGTTATCCGCGGATCTTATCTTTTTGTTCATATTTTTCGTTCAGAGCCATATGGCACTACCACTGCCACATGCCATCGCCGACGAATGAGTATTTTTATTAACACAATTTCAACGCGACAACACGACAAAAGCGTTGTTGCAAAAGGCGCACGATGGCTTATCGCGCGCACGCGCTTACTCGTAACGCGCCTATCAGTAACATTTACTTATCGATACCGCAACAGCGCGAATGTTCGCATATACAGCACTCGATCGTTTATCTGCGCTGGCATCGCTTAGACCCTGATATGGCTACGTACGTGTATTACATTGGTCGTGCCTGCACACGCGAGCAATTACGCAACAACCCGACTGCTATTCTATGATGACGAAGTAGAAATGCGTTTCATATACGTGGAATCCGGTTTGTTGGCAAGTACTAGTTGCCGTATTCGTTAGCTCATGTTAGTTAGTGTTAAGAGCTTACAAGATCCTGACAGGAGTAGAAATCAGATAAAATTTGAAGACTTGTAAACTGTTGTAAATACATTTTTTGCATTGTGTATATTTATTTATAACATCTTGGTATGAAAAAATTATAATGATTATTAACATCACTGTGTCTACTTCAGTTCTATTTTGCAAAAGAATCATGCTTCAACGGTGACCATCCTGACCTCAACACAGAAGTGATCTGAAATCAGTGTCAATACATTTTTTTATTTATTGGAGTTGCAGTTGTCGATTTATCGAGCGAATTTTGCAAAGGACAATATTTCGCAAAATAGGAGTTATAAAAAATTCAACTAAATCTCTTCACTGAAAAATTCGTACTTGCAAAACAAATAAATAATAAATGGTTTTAAAATTTGCGGCCTCCATGAATCGATAACATTAATAAAAATAAAAAAAATTGTTATTGATACTGATTTCAGATTACTTCTGTTAACAATAGTTATCGTTGAAGTATGATTTTTTTACAAAACAGAATTGAAATGGGCACGGGTGATATTAATATTCATCAAAATATTTATTTTGTTCGGAAAATTCAATTTACAATACATAAGAGAATAATTAAGAGAAAAAATACAAGAATACATGAAAAATACAAAAAAAATTTATTCGATAGGTATTAGTAGCAAATTTATTTAAATCTAAATTCTTTCATTTGCATAGAATGAGTAATTGCTTTGATAAAAAGTTGAAATTTTAAGAAAATGCATATTTTTTCATTTGAACAATATTTTATACGAGTATAAGCAAATTAGTATTCGGAATAAATGCCCCGCGAATAAGTAAATAAATAAAAGAAATAAAGTTTTGTTTCTCATATATTCTCTCTCTTTCTCTTTCTCTCTTTCTCTCTTTCTCTCTTTCTCTCTTTCTCTCTTTCTCTCTTTCTCTCACTCTCGGTGTAATGAATTTAAAATAACGACCGAAATAAAAATCAAAGATTTATTCTGCGAACGACGAATAAACTTCTACTCGAAACTAATTTCTTGTTATTTATTTATACACGAAAATTTGTTGTTCGAATAAGAAGGTTCTGTCGATCTAGTTTCCTTTTTTTCTACACAATTATACACTGTTATACACTGTTAGACTTGTTAGACTGTTATCTTGTTCTTCAATTTCGTGAGGAACAATTTAACAATTTTTTTCGATGTATAAACTTATTTTCTTCATCACTGCTTGGATTAAAATGTTTGTTAAAGCTGCGACAAGCGGCAGCAAAATATCTCATTATCGTATTACTTTCTTGCGACATATCTTATTCTCATGTTGTCCGACCACATAAGCTGCAGGTATCTGCAACTACTACTTTACTAAATATGAAATTACAAGATTTGATAACATGCGAGTTATTATTAAACATGTTATATGTTCACACTGTGCCACTAGGATTACTGAATCTAGACCCGCGAGTTAATCTCTCTCGTTCTCGAGATATCTGCCTTTGAATTTTGTGAATCAAAATTCTCCACGCGATTGCGTATCGTATCGTGAGATGTTTTAGAAAGTTCCAAACAGGAACGGCGTATGGCATAAGCGCGTGTTGGCCTTGCTTGCTCGGAAGACTGTTCCCGAATAACATAAGGAATCTTCAGTAATCTTTAAACATACTGAGCGGTCGATAATCCGAACATCCGCTTTAACCATATCCGGATCTCGGGCGAATTCTCGAATTGGGAAATTGCCGATACTCCGAACTCTCAATGACATTCTAGTTTTAATTTCGTATTGTTCCATTATCACAATTCCTTATCACCTGCGAGCGTCATGTGGAAATGCTTCCGCGGGGAAGGCGGGCAGAGCTATTTACGACGCGGAAAACGCCTCTCTGTTATTTCCATGTCGATCGTAGTCACAAATGCGACGAACGTATACAACGCGATCGATCGCCAGGTCGTAAACTCCGTGAAACTGTGTGGCCCACTTTTATCGGGAACTATGCAAAGGTCCAACGCGGCGAGTTCCCACGCGACGTGCACAATATAACGCGCGTGCACGTCGAGGGAGATCGCGATGGCGAATTAGCGCGCGCTCCGAATTCGGAGGGGATTCGTTTTGATCAAGGCCGGATGGGTGGTTTTAATCGCTCGCGGTTGACCGTCCGGTGCAACTTCCTTGGAGAACGCGACGGGCATTATCGCGTAAGTAGTTCTATCGAGTTATTAGCCAGTTACCTCGGCAGCTCGGCCAATGCGTTAAACTTTTAACGCAATTACACTTGGAAATTTCCTACAAAGCGAATTAATTCGCCGCGAAACTAAGTAACATAAAGCGGTTAAGTTGATAACCGTCGATGGATTATCGCATAAGCGGTTAGATCGAGTTCGCTCATCGGAGCCTTTTTAGGCGCTCTCTCCACGTCAAAATTGATTCCCCGCCGGTACGTTCGCGTAAATATCGGAGTTAACCGGGATTTTAACTCGCTTTCTCGAGCAAGGAACACTGCCTCACGCCTGTGTGCTTCGTTACAAATTGGATCTTGAAAAAAAATGCCGCGTTTTGGCAATTGTATTGATATCGATTTCGGATCACACACACACACTCACTGTCACGTTCAGACCACGACGGTTACGGTTGAAACACGATTCTTTTGCAGAAAAGAATTGAAATGGACACGGCTTATGTTAATATTCATCATAAAATTTAATTTTCTCGACGAATTTCATTCTCATTTCATACATTAAGGGAAAAATATCTGAAAAATAAAAAAATATTTATTTGGATACTAATAGCAAATTCACTTGAACCTAAGTTCTTTTGCTTGAATAGAATAAACAATTGCTTTGAAAAATAGAGATTTTAAAGAAATGTATATTTTCTCATTTGAACAATATTTTATACTGTAAATATAAGCAAATATGTTATTAGTACTTGGAATAAATGCTCTGAATAAATATGTTTTATTTCTCAGATATTTTTTATCAGTGATGTTAATGCTCATCATAAAGTCTAATTTTTTTTATATCAAAATATTGTTAATAGACATTCATAATATAAAAAGTTCATATTTTTATTAATTGACAAGTCCTCAAATTTTACCTAAATTTTACTTCTCAGTCAGTGTTCTACTGAAGTCGAAATCTTTATCGACAGAATACTAACATTTTTCTGCAAAGTTTGCATTGCCTGTAGAATTACAAATGTTCTTACGCAATAAAAATGCGTCAGAGTATAAATTGGAGTACTATTTAATATATGACAAAACTGATAAAAATCTCCCAAATTAACATTTCGAGTGTCAATCAGACGTTATCAGTGAAAGTAAATACTCGCCAGATACGAAAGGCCTGGCTTTTTTCCTTCAGAAAAATTAAAAAAATTTAAAACATTTTTTTTGTTCAGAAAAATTTTTAAAAACATTGTATATATTTTTACATTTAAATTTAGAAGCTTAAAAATATCGGAGAAGGTTTATACACATGTGTGGTTGGGTTTCCCACTATATATGACAAAACAAAGCAACACACATTTACGTAAGATCTATACGTACAAGAAACACGGAAAGGATAGCGCGATTGTGTTAGTAACGATTATCTCTACGACATTTTTGAATTGTCACCGATTCCAACATCCCCTTAATGGAATCTTATCTTTCCTCTTCCGTCAAAGAGTCGAGCGAATTCATCCTTAATACAATGAGAGGAAAGGAAGGAGAGGGAAAGGAAATCCACGGAAATTAATCATGTCTTCGCATCGCAGTAGAAGAATGCCGATTCAATGACGTATTATTACGAAAGAACCTAAACGCATCGTGAGTGCGTAGTTTCTAACGGACTATGAAGTCGCAACATTGTGCAATCGAAAAAAAAACGAAGTTGTAGCGTATATATATACATATTCAATCGAGTACATATCTAATTATGTAAATGGTGTCTCGTGTTGAAGTATATCAGGATAAAATGGAACGCATCGCGAAGTAACGAAGTATATTCTTCGATATTGCCATCATATTTTCGTGCCATTTTCATACGCAAAATGACAAAACGGATTAACAGCTTAATAATTAAATATGCTGCTCGGCGGTGATGTTAAAGATTTTTGCAAAAGCAATGTTTATTATCACCTCTATTTCCGTTTCCACATTTACTTCCAGTTATTACTAGAAATATTTCTTATTATTCCTTGCAAAAGGAATTTTAGAATTTTATTTCAAAGGATCACTTATAAGACAAGATTCTTATTATTTCTTATAAAATTGTAGAATTGTAGAGTTGTAGGATTTTGTTCTCTAGGATTTTTCTATCTGGCAGGATCGAGTGTCCCCTTATCGATGTCTCGACCGGCTTCCTCGTGGATTCTTCCTCAAGTGGTAGCGATAATTACTTAAATTAAAAGGCACTTATCTTCGCGTTACCCACGATAATTTCCGAACGCCACGTTCTCGTTGGCTACGTTCGATCCAACGAGCCAGCAATGGATGCACGTTAAAGTGCGTATCGGTGTCAGGAAGCGCGATGTGTGTTCGTAAACCTTGAGAGTTTCAAAGCCCCATGAAGGCTCTCGCGTTAACGCTTTCACTTACACTATCAAACGGTTGACTCTCGTCAATTGCTGCCGCAGTCAGTGGTGTTCAGCGAAGACGACCGACGTGGACGCCGCGGGACTCTTACGTAACTTTTGGAGTAAAACACGAGTACAGTTTCGTCGACTTACTAGCATGAGAACGATATAATTGCACGCTTTAAATAAAATTCGTGACTAATGAGAAATTCGCGGGCTTGAAATATCCGCTGTGGTTATGCAATTGGTGTCAAAGTGTATCGCACTTATTGCAAACATCGATAACGATTAATTCGTTAGCTAATTCGATGAATTTGCAGAGAACGTCAAACGATAAAATGATAATAAAATGTCGAGCCAACGGTTACTTTCGCAATTTAAACACTGCGAACGGCACAGAAGCGTCATTAAAATTATTTTATGCGCACAGCAAAGTTTGGCTGCTAACGAAACGTAACCTCTCAGTTCGTTAATGGGTTAATGTCGTGTCATCGACGTGGGCGTGGGCGAAACAAATGCCATTTTTTTCTTCTGTCGTTCCGCCGTCGATACGATCACGCTGAGTCATTTCCTGTGCAATGGCTACGATGAGATTCCAGATTTGTTTTTTTCCAATATACAAAGCGAAGCGTGATCAGCGTTTTCGCCACTGTGGCTAATCACCGGCACCTATCGCGAGCTGATTAACACCGCCGGCGGTTCAATTAGTCGGCTGAGGTTTTGATAAATTTAATTGAATCACATTTCAACAATTTCGCACGGATAAGACCGGCGGGAAAAAAAGCAGATCCAGTCGTGAGCGGCCTATCTTTTTAGTCCGCGCGACATGTAAATACTGCAGAGAGTTATTTTACTAAAACGTGTCCGGTAATGGTACACTAAACCGCACTGAAATGCGCGGAAGAAATGTAATTAACGAATAATGAGTGAAAGCATTGAGGCGAATCCGCGGGAGAAATATAATTAATTATAATTAAAAAAAATTAATTCGCGGCGTAATAAAATGAAAATTGAAATTTGGGTCAAGCGAAATAGAGATGAGGATATGAGGTACTCCGGGTGTGTTGAAATTGTGCGAATTTTCGCCACACTTTGTTCCCACCAAACTTCTCCGAGGCTAACCGCCGATAATTAGGAGTTATTCGAGAAAATTGTTGACTGAGACAAAATGTCGCGACTCGTCAGCGGACAGGCGATCTCTTCTTTAGAACTCGATGATTGTGACAAAACGTTACCGCGAATAGGATGGATGTAACGATCGGCGAATCGGCAAAAGTCGGCGGCGAAGCGCTCGCGACTGAAGCGACGCCTCCGGCGCTCGGTAGGATTGAGAACCTGTGGCGCATGATCGATCTCTCTCTTGCGTGCGTGGGATAGTGCGGCTGCACCGTTCACGCAGGGTTTATAAATAGCCTCAACGAGCTAGTTGGTTAGACAGTCTGCCATAATCTCGCCGAACGCCCCAGAGACTGCCATCCACAGGTTCGGTCTGTCGTGACTACTCTTCTTTCTTCTGTCTTTTCTTCTTTCTGCTATTTTCGCTCTTCAGTTTTGCTCTCTTTCTCTCTCTCTCTCTCTCTCTCTCTCTCTCTCTCTCGCTTCCTTCCCTTCCTTTCCCTTCTCCGTGTGCTCTGCACCGCCGTAAATAATCCGACGAAGCAGCTCGAGTGACAGGACTGCTTCAACGATCGCGAATTTGTGGTTCATGGTGCGCGAACTCGATTTCGCGAGGGATCCCGACCGGCGCTCGTATCGCAACACGTCGCTCTCGTACATGAACGCCGTCATTTATGAACGCGGAAGTTTGCGTAATCAATTTCCGCGCCCGCGGAGTGCGAAGACAAATGTGTGATGCTACGGTGCTCCACGGGCTCGCAATAAATTTGTCGTCTAGAATTTGGCGAGCTCGTCCCGAGGGTTCTCTCACGCTCTTACTGAAGGTGCTATCGATTCTTACTTTAATATATTGTCCTCCAATGTACTGACCTTCTTTTCTGACACCATTCTTACGATATCTTCCATTTTGCTTTGGTCAATTCCTTCGCATTTCTATTTTCTATGCATTTTTTGGAGGAATCTTATATAACGAACGTATGGTGGTCCGCCCAGTAATTTAACACTATTCAGTGAGTGAACAGTTTGCGGTATTTGTTACAATGTTAAAGTACAATGTCAAGGTGTTGTACTTTATATTTCAGGCGAATAGCTGATGGTAAAAATCACAGGTTGTGTAATTATGTGAAAAGAATACGTCGCTGAGAATACGTCTTTGCCTATCTAGATATTGAAGCTCGGTGCTCAAGTGTTCATTTACAAGTCCTGTGTTCATTTAAGTGTTCATTGTCTGGAGAGGTACTCTACTCCCGTATAGCTTCGAGCAGCAATCTTTTATTATAGATAAGAAAATCAAGATACAATATCTAAGACAAACGCGAAACGCGGAGTGTGGCACGATAGCGAGTGATTTCTTTTCAAGTGAATTCCCCGACTGATTAGAGCACTTGTGAAAGCTGCGAAGTGATCTTCGATAGATACATTCCTCCCGCAACAGTGAAAACTCAAATTACGCCGCCGACATGAACGTGCGCGATTTCGCCATTGCCATCGCGATTGTGTGCTGCTGCATCGTGTTATTAATATGGAGAAGAGAAATATTTGGCGACATCACGCAGCCAATCTCTACGCTAAATAGTAAATCAACATCGCCGCCTGAGACATTCTTGAACGACCCCGCGCGGAAGCACGTTCGTCCGGGAGAGAGAGAAAATTGGATCTTTCGCGTCGCGATGACAACGACGACGACGACGCGCGCGCGACTCGCCGTCTGATATTTCGCCAAGTTCCAACCGAAAGAAGTACATAGAACGCGATCTCGTTTGCGAATATTCCGCGCTGCTTTTCGCGCTAACACAACAGTCGGTGTTCGCGACGCCGACGTGCTTTCGAAGCTGGAGGAAGCCGGCTTGTGTCTCAAAAGTCACCGGGATCGTGCCGGGAGCGCGATCCCAAAGTTCAAAGATCCGTGACGTATAATGCCGTTAAAGAATCTGTGCCGTGACGCGATTAACCGGTCTTGTTGAGATAGGACGCGTTGGTGCGCGAGCGCTTTGCCTCAGAAGGATATCGCGCTGAAAGCGACGCGCCAATGATCTCGGAGCGAGTGACTTTCTCGCGGGATTAGTGTCGCTAATTTCGCGCCACATCTCGCACAGTCGCACAGGCAACCCTCCTGTCCTGACGCATCGGATCAACGCTTGTTGTTTCTCGTTTGAAAGTATGCGAATTCCCTTCGTGATTCTTTCAAGCTAATTTCAAGCGCGCTCCAAAAGCGCCGGGGATAAAATTTCCGCCGACGAGCGCGAGGGCTGCTTCGAAATTACACGGACTTGCAATATTACTCAGCGAGTGAGACGATAATTGGCAAACTTCCCCGCCGGTGTATGCGTTGTGTTTGCGCGACGGAGTGCGTTATTCCGCTTATGCGTCCCGTTATTGCGTCATTACGGTTATCTAAAGCGCGCTTATCTAAACCGGCGTGAGCAGGTGACGTTTCCTTTCAGCAAAAAGTTGCGGCGAATTTTGCCTGTCGCCTCCCCCGAGCATGCTCAATTCTGTTGTATTGTTTGCTGGCTTCTCGAATCGGGACACGCGCGCTTCTCGATCACTGCTTCAAGCCGGATCTCATCGCACATCTGTCTTCCGTCGCCATTCTCTGTGACGCCGGTAGATAACTGTTGATACCGATCATGAGGCCGATTCACGTCACTTAGGAAGGATTCTCATAAACCTCCCAGTTACGTAACCCGTGAAATGCCGAGGTCATCGCGAGGTTATCTTCCTCGTTGACGAATTGACGATAAAAACGAAATGATAAAAGACGGAACGGTCTCGAAAAATTTCCCTGTCCGATCTGACTCTACTGTCAAGACACAAAAATCGTTGTATATGCAACAATCAGTACCGGTTGACTTTTGTACTATAAAAGTTGTCGCGTATCGTTGAATACATTTCCACGTCGCTCGAGCACCTCCGGGACGACCCGATCGTGCCGGCTGCAATCGTTCGCAAACCGGCCTAATCGTATTTCGTTTTCGCAGATCGCAAGATGCCCATCGATCTTTACCAAATTCCCGGAAGTGCCCCGTGCCGGGCGGTGCGTCTGGCGGCGGCCGCCGTGGGAGTGGACCTGAACCTGAAGATGACCAATATCATGGCCGGCGACCATATGAAACCGGAATTTTTGAAGGTAACTCGTGACGACGGGAATCGGCGCGCAAGCAAAGAACCTCACATATTTTAGGCGGAAAGTGGCTCTCAGTTGCTGAGATTGAGATATGTTACGGTCCTTACCTTCCTGATAAAAAATTTCAATGACCAACAACCTTCTGAAATTAATAGTTTGTTGTCGCGGAAGTTTACAGGGACGCTGGAATGGGTGTGTGTGTGTGTGTAATTGATGATGAACTCGAAAAATAACGCAGAGAGGATCGTTATTAACGCAATCACGGTGTCCTTCTCATATTTCCTGTACGCTCAAACACATGAATGCTGCATCATTCTCACTAGACCGATAGTCATTAAAAATTTCCAACTATTAAAAAATTTACACTCGTTTCTAGCTACACGTTTCTTATAACTGTTAATTAATCTAGCAAACGGGAATGCGAGTCCACGGACAAAATGACATTGAGAATTTACATAGAATTTATGTAAATGTGTGTTGCCTTGTTTTACCATATTCAGCGAGAAATCTAATCACACATATGTAGAATTTTTCTGCAAATTCGATTTTCTTAAGCTTCTGAATTCAGGTGCGATCGTTTGATTTTAGGAGGTTGTGCCCATTAACATTTTATTAGGAAGGCCCAGTAACATATTTCAATTTCAGCAATGATGGAAACGACCGCTACCTTTTGAAGCACAGGATTTTCAAAATTTGAATTCTAATAAAATATTCATGCCACATTTCTAGACAGTCCAAGAGATCACACGCAAAAAATGACTTAGCAATATCAGCTAAACCGCTGTAGCTGATTCAAACTTAGTCAAAAGGCTAATCGTTTAGCTGTCACTGCTAAGAATTGGCTGACAGCTAAAATGCATTCGCTATGAAATACAAATATATTAAGTGACATTAAAAATGCACATTATTTCGAGTAGCTAAGAAAATGATAGTTATTACTAAATTTCTTGTTGTATACATATATTAAAGAAGTTTGCCGCACAGCTACTATCATTTGCTACAGTTACTTGTTTCTAGCTAATATTTCTCGCCTAAGTTTAAACAGCGAATAAATTTAGCTTCGGTATACGGAAAAAAGAGATGTGGTGCACCTAACAAAAAATATTTAGTTATAAGCAAATAGCTGCATCATTCTACATATCTTTGTATGATAGTTATGTGTATGGTTGATTTGACTTACTTTGGTGTATCAACTACATCAATGAAGTTGATTTCTGGTTGTGGCAACCAGAAATTAGTAAGGGGATCATTTTGCACAGACAAGCTAAATATTGATATAGTTGCATTAATCAATGCTATATTGCAAAGCAGCGATGTTAGAAAACAAAAGCAATTCACTACGCGCACAGCTAGAGATGTATACATGTGAAAACTGGTTCTGAGTGTATAAATATACATTTGTAGTTGCCGTGTAATGAGCCGCGTTTGTATTAATCATGTATTATCACTGCTGCAACATAAGTAACTCAGCCATTGCTCTTTGGTTACAGCAACCACATAAATAGTTGTTCCGTATTTTACTACTGAATCTGGTTGGCACAACCAGATTTCTGTATGGATCAACCATATTGTTTTTTCCGTGTAGTATCGACATTAGCTGTCCCTATTTCAGTGACACATCTTATCTGTCACAGCTATTTTTTAGCTCTGGAAGCTAATTTTTTTGCGCGCATTCTCTTTAAAATTAATTTTTTCTATTTTCCTATTTTTACAGAATAGGAGTGGTTTTATCGTGCAAAAATTGTGCAACCACTGTGCAACAAAATATTTCCATTTCTAATCATTTTTTGGTTCCTTATGTTCCTTTTTTAGGCAATTATTAATTTATTCTATGGAAAGTATAAAATAAAACAGCATATGATACAATTCCTTTTATTATAAATTATGAGATACTTAACACTATAATCTCACGGTGAAACCACTGTGCCTCAAAGGATTAAGTAATTCTCTCAGTGATTTTACTGATTGCGATGCTATAATACTTACAACTGAATCACCACAGCTGTAAGTATAGCATTTCAGTGCAGAATACACTGATTGTTCAGAAAGCGCAGTGAACAGTCAATATAATCGCAAGTGCGGTGAATGTTGTTTCACGAGGAGCTGTCTTGAAAATATACCTCCTCTTGTGCGATCGTGTGACTTTAAACGATCGTTATTATCTGTTTGGATCTAGATGAACCCGCAACATACGATACCTACGATGGATGACAATGGCTTTTACTTGTGGGAAAGGTACGGAGGCAACCTTATCTCAACATTTCGACGCGATCGCGCTAATGTTTAGACGGGACTGATCCCAATAGATACGCGAATACAAGTACAGATATAGTCATTTTACATGGTTATCAACCTATCGCTTCAGTACTTCACAGACGATATTCCTCCATTATGCTTATGGGAGGAAAGAAAAAGGGGAGATTGTACTTTTCATTCTATTGATTTCAAGTTATGTCGTTCGATCTGCTTCTCCCAAACCCATGAAGTATCTTTCTGACTCTTCGTTACTGTTTTCCGCTAATTACGATCTTACGTGCTATTACTTCTGGATCTCCAGATAGATATACTGAGAGAAAAATGTCTAGTATTTGTGTAACTAATAATTTAAAGAAATAATTACTATTAATTATGGTCAAGACAATTTTTTAGTCGATTATACTATAGTTTTATAATGATAATAATCTTATATGCATGTTATTACTACTATTTTTCGGAAGAAAATGATTTATGTTTAATTTGTCTTCAAACATATTCTTTAGTTGTTCCAACACGAAGATAGTAATAGTAACATGCATATAACGTTATTATCACTAACAATTATGCTACAATTGACTAAAAAATGATTGTCTGGACTATAATATATAGTAATAAATACCGAATACATTTTTCTGTCTGTGTGATACGTTTGTGACGAAAAAGAGTTGATCCTAAGGTAGCCCAGAAATCTGTGAAGAAATAGCACGGCACATCTGAAACATTCCACATATTATATCCGCATACTACGCTACGCGTATTATCGCGCGAGATCAACACAGCGAATAAAACATTAAAGCTCCTGTATTAATCTCACACTGAGAGAAGATTATAGTTGCTTTCGGCTATATTCTTTCAACTATATTCTTTTGTGGTTTTAGCCACAAAAGTAGTTAGAAAAAGCATTGTTTTAGTAAGTGTTATTAAAAAAATGGTTTTTCTACTTATTTTTGTGGTTAAAATCACAAAAAAGTGTAGTTGACGCCGAGAGCAACAATTTTCTCTCAGTGCACGATTGTACGCTACACTCGTTGCCTCAATTCGCGCGCACTTTGCAGCCGAGCGATCATGGCCTATTTCGTCAACAAGTACGCCAAGGACGATTCTCTCTATCCGAAAGATCCCGTGAAACGAGCCGTGGTCGATCAGAGGCTATACTTCGACTTGGGAAGTCTATACCAGTCGTTCGCCGAATATTACGTAAGTTTTTCTTGCGCCTGTTTTCCTGCCAATTACATGTAATCATGCGATGCAACACGCGCGATGGAAGCTGACTCACAAAATGTGAGCGACTGTTATTATAATATTTCAATTCAACGCGTTAATTGCAGTATCCATACATATTCACTGGAGTTAAGCAAGATCAGGCAAAGTTCGACAAGATCGTCAACACGATGTCTTTCTTCAATAAATTCTTGGAAAACGAAAAGTACGCAGCCGGGAAAACTCTCACAATCGCCGACCTCACCTTGGCCGTTACCGTTTCCAACATAAAGGTGAGTAATTGACTTTTCCGTATGCGTTTCGTGCCATCGATTCACCGGCAAAACGGCGAGTCTGCGCAAAACAAATCGCGAGTCCAACACTATACGATTTCGAATTGTACTAGAAAAGTGTGAAAATTATTAGAATAATTTTTTTATTTCTTTATTCATTTTTTTAATTGTTCTTCTCAGTAAATAGTTAATTCCAGCAAATATTACAAATTATTATCAAAAACTTATTCCTATATTATAAATTATTATATTCCTTATAAGTTAAAAAGATTACGGATTTGTATTACATATTGTAAATTATATAAATAAAAAATAGATAGATAAAAATTAGATAGATAAAAAATGACGGATATATCATATATTTTATTAGATTCCCTTAGTTGTAAGATGTATTTTGCACAAAAGTAAATTCACATAGGAAATAGCAGGTTACTTATATACTGAGAAAAATACTTGAAAATTTATTTTTGAGATATAAAGTTTATTTTTGTGAAATAATCCGTCGTTATATATATATATATATATA